TGCTCAGTAAGTGCCACTCGATCGGGCCCACCCGGTTTAGAAAAAAAAATACTCGTTTACGAACAGAGATACCCTGAATTAACTAATTCTCAATTGACTACGCTTAATGGATCCAATTAGCAGTCACCACAAATTGCATTACTACAACATAAACGTGCGCGTTGCCACGCCCGTCCATCTTGAGAAAGAAGTCATACAAATATTCGATAAAATTATGCCATCAAATATTCCATAAAATTATGGCAACAGTAGATTTGATAAAATTTTAAATTGTTCTGGTTATAACTGACCCACTCACATAGATGATGTCGTATGTATCACGTTTATCAGAACAGGAAGTGCAAACGTAAACATAAAATTTTCTTTCTTTTTGGGTCAAATGTACTTTTTTTTGGAAATTGGGCCAAATGTACTTAAAGTTGCATTAGTGGATACCCTTTCCTTCTTTGTTTCAAAAAATGTGGCTACCCTTTTCTTAGGCAAATCATTGGTTGTAAGTTGAATAATTCTAAAACATTGAAAACAACTACACAAACTCCTCATCAATTTCACAGAGAGTTTACATGCTTGATTTCACGTAGAAGCTTATAAATTTCATAAATATGAGTCTCCATGAATAATCTTTGGAAAATTTACACTATCACACTAACCATTTGGTGTGCGCTTTCTACCTTTTCTTAATATCATCTCACAACAGAGCAGTCATATATGACCAAATATTCACATCCTAGTAAACCTCACTGTGCCATTGCATGTTCTTCTTGAGTTTGTGACAACTTCTGATTCTAGCTCTCCCCTTTATGGTCTGTATCTTTCTGGAATTTATCGTGAATCCCTAGTGCTATTACTTTTGAACCACGGAAAGATGTGCACACCGCCATCCAAAGGTTGAAACTTTGACCGTCCCGTTCTACCCATAGGTATTGTACTCTGACCGTTGAATGGCCCTACTTGGCATGTGGCTAGGTCTCAGTCAACTGAGATTTAACCAAGTCTCAGTCAAGTGACATAACATGCAATAGAGAAAAAGAAAAAAACTGAGAAGAAAATTTGCATGAATCTTAATGTAAGATATAACGAATATATCATCGACTAAGACTTCATTATGTCTTGGTCAACTGAGACTTAGCAAGACTATTTTTTCAAACCTACATATTTAGGGCATTCAAGTATATTTTACCCTCACAAAGGGGACGGGTAGTTCAATCAAGTGGCATGCTCAATACCAGTGATGATTTACATTGACAGAAGTACTTATATTTAACAAAATAACTTTTGGTCATGTGTAAAATAACAAGGTTTTTAGTTGGAAGAGGTCTATGAACGTAATTAGCCACATGTTTCTATGATGTAGGTCATCACCACTAACAGGCAATGACACCCGTTAGTGGAGGCATGTCCTAGGCCAACCGAAGAGCTCCCTAGGAAACTTTGGTCCACACCAAGGCTTATAGGAAATTTTGCCCTAAAATTTTCTTCTGTCCTAGGCATTCTTCTTCTAGATCGATTACTCCTTAAAGATATCCTCATAATCGGTTTAGACACTCCGAGGATTTTCACTAGCTATTTATTGTATGTCAAATCTGGCTGAACTTCTATCTCCACCATAGCTCCTTGCTTCTGAGGCTCTTGCAAACACTTCAACCATGACACATGGAAAACATCATGCATCCCTGCAAAAAGAAGGTAGTAGCTCTAGATGGTAAGCATGTTCCACTATTTTGTGTTGTATATATTGATTTTAGTATATAGATTTACAGAATTTTTTAATGGTTATATCTGGAGGTCTTCTATGGTACCTTCCAAAATATTAACCATTTATTCCAGGTCGTCCAGCAGACTAGATCCATCCAAGCTTTTAAATAGCGGATTGCAGACTAGTTGCAGATTGCGGACTGCGGGCTATGCTCTCATAGCGGATTTAGAAAAAACAATCATAAATTTGAGATTTGTTGTCAATATTTCTAGATCATTGACAACAAATCTGACATTTACTTTTGGGTATTCATCATTTATATAAGAATATAAAGTATAATTAAACAATATTTGGTCATGCAAGGTGCAACCATGTAAGCAAGACACATTTACACAAATAAATTACACAACAAAATATTACACACTTTATAGCGAGCGATGTTGTGGATAGCGGACGATATAGCGGTCTGACAACTGGTAGGGTGACGCTATCGCTGTTGTGTCCGCAATAGTGAGGTAGCGGCCGCTATTTAAAAGCTTGACTACATCTCAACGTGAGTAGTACTTTGTGAAGGGGAAGAACAGGATGACACGCACAAAAGAAATCCCGTATTTTTCTTGGAGAAAATCCATTGCTTTCCTTCCAAAAAAGAAGAACCCCTTGCTTTCCAGGCTTGACGGTTAATGTTTTGTGGATCCCCAATGCCCTGTTCTATTTCTTGTCTCCATCCTGGGCAAGAGAACCATGGCCTAGGCCGGGCACCTGTACACGCAGCCAACATTTGGACAGATGTAGTTAAAAAAAATAGCATTTACTAGAAAACTGTAATGCGAGAGAGAGAGAGAGAGAGAGAGACTGCAGGGGAATACCCAGTGAATCAAGAGTCAATTGCAACGATGTTGCTTGAACTTAGCGCAAACGGTCACTTTGATGCTAGAACTTGCGGCATACATCGAACTGGTGTAACAACTTGGCTCGGGCGTGCAAATACGGTGTAAACCTCGGCTGTGTATGCCCGAGCCGCTGATTAGGCGCGCCAACATGGCATCGGTACGCCGTCAGTGACCCGAAGGCAGACAGGAGGGCGTGTGACTATTCTTTTTTTTACGTAAACCACCTTGAATTAATTTTCCCCACAAAAAGGCCCTGTCAAGGTTGGAAGATGGCATTTCATTTTTTCGACTCTATGGCCAGTGGGCTCCGTCTGTACATACTGAGAATTAATAACAAGAAAAAAGGAGGCCACCACGTCTCGAACGACCCTTGCCCATGTCACAGTCTGGCTGCTACACCATTCAGTCTTCACAACTTTAGATAAATTTTTTTATTCATCAATTTGAATATTAAATATAAGCAGCACATGTATATTTTTCTATTAAATAAACATTTTAAATATCTGAATTTAATAAACAATTTTATATAATAGACGTGAGTATGTTTAAATGTTTTTATCTACTAATCATTGTTTGTATGTATAATATTTATAAAAAACAAATATTTGAACATTATTTTAATTACTTACATTTCACAGATATTTCAAAAAGAACCAGCGCGTGCAAATGGGCTGCACTATCTGCAGCCAATTTAAACCCCATGTGTATCATCCTTATACTACATTAATGGCTGTTATCCTTGTTAGACATCCGAATGTAATTGGTGCAGTGGCTATGAGCGCGAGCTCCCTAACAGTAGGTCGCATGTTAAATTCTTAAAAAAAAGTTCACGTGTTGGAGTGTAGGAATCTAACATTTTCCCTTTTAATTCCCGCCAAAAAACATTTTCCCTTTTTAATTTTCACATCAGGACTCACCTGTCATACAACAAACAAAATAAAATAGCATCTACCGCGTGCACATGGTCTTTTTTGTGAGAAATAAATTTTTTCGAAGTTTTTTTGCAAAAAAAAAAACAGGCCACACATTTCTAGTCTTTGACTAAGGGCCCCACGCCACGCTGGTGGCCAAGCCAGCATTGATTTCGTATCCAAGTGCGGTTAGCACTGTATTTGTATACTTGAGCCAAGTTATGGCACCCGTTCAATGTATGCCACAAGTTCTAGCACCAAAGTGACTGTTTACGCCAAGTTCAAGCACCACCGGTGTAATTGACTCGTGAATCAATGGTTGATCTTGTTCAATACTACTCCCTTCTGGAAGTAGTAAATAAATTGTGCTGTAAAATCCTCCAGTGGGCAGGCCTCCGTGAGCGTAGCAGAGAACTACAGCGTGGTGGCCACCAAACCTGAGCGGTGCCCAGCTCCGGCACGCTGCCCGTGCACCAAGGTGCGGTACTTTCACATGTCGGAGGATCTCTTCGAGGACCACCTCATCATCCTTGTCGCCGGTGAGGGTTTGCTGGACCTCATTGCAGCGGCAACCGCGGTCCACAGGTTGGACGTCCTGCTCTTCTACGCCGTGGTCAAGCGCGTCCTGAAGAAGCCCGGCTGTGTCCTTGCAGTGTGGGGTTACAACCTGGACATCAACCAGTTTGGTAGCAAACTCCAGGAGAAACCCAACGTGGCCATTGGCCCTTGATCGGCACCGCGAGCTGCCATTTCCGTTCGAGCCTATCGGCATGGGCTGAGAGGGGAAGCCAGCAAATATGGACATTGAGGTCGAGATGACACAGAACAACCTGATTGAGCTCCTGATGACCTTCAGCGTCATGGCGAAGGAAGGCGAGGGAGAAGACAGTGGTAAATGATGTCATGAGCCGGGTGACAAAGGCATGCGAAGAGGACCCTACTGTGGGAAGGAAGGAAACTTGCCTTGAAGGCCTTTATGTTAGCTGGGAAGCCTTCATCATGACATCGCATCATACAGCGCTAAAGGCCTTGCCTGTTTTCAGCCAACATGAAGGTTTCAAGACAAGTTTCCTTGCCACCGTGTGAGCAGATCTTCCCATGCGCCTTCCACCACGCTCACAAGATCACTTACCATCGCCTTCTTCCTCGCCATTGCCACGACGCTGAAGGTCACCAGGAACTCAATCAGGTCGTTGTGTGGCATCTCGACCTCGATGTCCATGTCGGCTGGCTTCCCGTCTCAGCCCACGCCGATGGGTTCGAACGGGAATGGCAGCTCGCGGTACATGTCCAGGGCCAGCTGAGCCCATGGGCTGATTTACGGGCCAATGGTTGCGTCGAGCTGCTCCCGGAGCAGCCTCCTCCCAAACGAGTGGATGTCGAGGTTGTACCCCACACTGTGAGGACGCCACCGGGCTTCTTCAGGACGGGCTTGACCATGGTGCACAAGTGCGGGACGTCAAACCAGTAGATCGCGGTTGCCCCCACGACGAGGTCCAGTTAACCCTCCCCGTTGGCAAGAGCGACGAGGTAGTCCTCGGAGAGATCCTCCGGCCTGTGGAGGTATCGCACCTTGGGGTGCGCGGAGGCGTGCCCAAGCAGGGCGTCGCCGACGTAGGTGGCCACTACGCTGTCGTAGTGCTCCACAACGCTCACGGTGGCCTTCCTACTGCCGCAGCCGGTGTCCCAGCTAGGCACGCTGGTGGCCGGCGGTGAGAAAGGCAAGCATGGCCAACGCCTCCGCGGTCGCTTCTTGGAGTACATCGCGGACATTCTTGTTCAGCAATCGTCTGTCCAGTATGAATTGCATGACTAGATCAGACGGAATGTATAGACCACCCGCGACCATGAGCAATCTGAGAGTCATAAAGAAAAAAAAAGACGCTGGAAAGTTGATCTGTACCCTAAAGTAAAAACACGCTGGAAAGTTAGTTAGCTGTACTCTAAAGTTAAATGCGCTGGAGAGTTAGTTAGGTCAGGCGTCGTGTCACAGAAACATCATTTGGATCTGTACTCTATGTCGTCCTTAAACCTAGAAAAGACGCCGGAATATTATGGCCGGTGCAGTGAACAATTATTTTGATGGATGGGCCAGCAAAGGCAGGTGGGCTTCGTGAGGATTAGGGTCGATCCATCCTTTGCCCTTTTATCTCTCTCATGTCTATCCTCTGTTCGCCATTGGAGCTTCTTGCTGCCGCCATGAGAAGCGAGTCCGGTCATTGCACCGTAGGCATGCAGGCGGACGCGCCCGTGAATCCTATGAGTGTCTGTCTGCATCAATCAATTTTGCATTAGCAATAATTAGGTTAGTTTTTGCTTTGCGGACGCGTCCGCTTGCATCCCTGCCGCAGTGAATGTGAATCCTTCCCCATCCTTGGCGCGAGTTCAGTTTCCAACCATCGCTCGGAAATGGAAAAGGGGATCAGAAACTTTTTTGGACTCTGTTCTTCAGGCGTTGGAGCTTGAAGGTGATGGGAGCAAGAAGGGAGGCATGAAGATTGATTCAGCTCATCGTGTGCCTTTTATTGGCTAGTAAAAAGACCAAAGGGGCATACTGAGTGGCAGTAATTTTCGCGGGTTCCCTATGCGATATGTGTTACATGCGTGCGGGGATCGAGGGGTTTGCTGATAACGCCGCTGTAAATCCGGAGCACGATCTCTTTATTGATTAGACGTGCCAATGGTTGTGGGCTCGAGCTGTGCTAAAATGCTATAATGAAATTTGAAAGGACCGCTCGGTTTTACAGTACATGGTGGCAGTCCGGGTTTGGTCAAAGTTGTTAGAACACGACCGAATCGACGCCCTTATCCCAGCACGGGAAGACATAGCCGCTAAGGTAATTCTACACTGAAAGGGTTTTCGGATCCTAAGAAAGAAAAAAAACCTCTTTGAAAACTCGATTGGGGCTCCTCGGATATCCGAGGTATGTTATTCCTCAGGCAAGATGTTGATCACTTTGAAGTAAGCATGCAAAGAAGTTGTTGAACCAGTTTGCAAGGTTGATTATCAAAGATAGAAGGCAGTCGTCGGATAGTCCTCGGCTTGAAGACCGGTTTGAGGGCTACTGATAGTGTCCTCGATAAGGGGATGTTAACCACATTGAATCCAGTGGGTTGGGCTGAGGGCCCCCAAAATGACCAGCTAATGGGCCACATTCGTCAGGCCCCATGAAGGAAGCTAGAAGGAATCTTTCGAAGACCTGGCGCATACTCCAAGGCACAAAGGCAATCTTAGTCTTGTTTATCTTTAGATGTAACCAGCCTATGTGTAACCCTAGGTATCCCCGGTGTCTATATAAGCCGATGGGTGTCGATCGTAGAGTCAACTCAATCACATATATATGATCTCAAAGTAGATCAACATGTACTATGTACCCCATTCAACAATATAATTAAAGGAAGACGCGGGGTCTTACCTCTTCAAGAGGGCTTGAACCTGAGTAAACATCGTGTCCCCTTGTCTCATGTTACCATTTGGCAAAGACTACCCGCTCGGGACCCCCTATCCGAGATATGTCGATTTTGACTCCGTCATTGCATCGTTCAGGCAGATCAGACGACACAGAGAGCCCTTGGGAGGCCCCCGCGACATGCGAGCTGGAAACATATGGCTCTTAGGGCACTCTTCCCTCGAAGCCCCAAGGGGGGTGGGTACTCTATCATCCTTTATATGAGTATTTTCATAGAAGCAATGACTATGAAATATTATGAGTTATAGTGGGGTTAGTTTAATTTGTATTGGGTGGTCACTTTTGTGGGCCTTCTAGATGCCGTGTTGCATCCCAGGCTGTCATGTGAATTTTTCTATTTGGCACATAAGTACTCTCCCATAAGCGAGTGCCCACACATAAAACTTCGTTAAGTATGTCTAGAAAATTATAAAAGCTTTGTTAAGTTAGACTAGCTCGCAATCCTTTTGCACCGGTACTAGGAAGCTTTCGGATGGATTCTTTTCTTTGCAGTTTTTTTTCTGCTAGGTTTTTGTTTTCCTTTATATTTACAGTTTTTTACATTTTCATTTTATAATTCATGATTTTCTTTCAAATTCATGAACAAGTTCAAAAATATTTTAAAAATCCGTTGAGCATTTTTTTCAAATTTGTGATTTTTTAAAATCCGTGAGATTTTTAAATTGTCAACCATTTTTCAAATATGTTAATGCTATATAAAATTTGTGAACATTTTTCAAATGTGTAATCCATTAACATTTTTTCCATTAGAGTAGAAAAATGTATTTCTCAAACATATTTTTAAACCCATGGATATCTTTTTAAATTCGTGATTTTTTTTAAATGCATAAGTAAACAATAGCGGTTTCTTCTAAAAAAACAAAGATCGAGTGATTTGTGTAAAAAAAAACAAAGATCGAGTCTCCGTTCTTTTATATTCTCCTCATTCTCAGTCTGAGACATCTCAAAAAAAAAAAAAAATCTCAATCTCAATCTGAGGGTATTATCCCCAATCACGGTCTACGTCCGTGTCGACGAGGAGGGGAACTATCGCCCGAGGTATATGTCCCCCAAAGTTGGGCGAGTGTTCCGAGATCTCCAGGATCTTAAACAAGCAGTCCGTACATTCTACACCAGCATCTACATCGCCCGTCGCCTCCTAAAGAGGCCCCTGGATCCGCCGCCCTCTCCGACGTGTGTACCTCTCCCTCTCCCTCTCCCTCTCGAATCTTATCTTCTACTTATTCCAGTTTATTACTACTGTATTTCATTTCACTGATCGATCAATGGAAATTCCAATTTATTTTGATTGTTGTTCCAGCGACAACATATTCCAGTTCGAGTTCGTGGTGGAACCTGCAGCAGATGTGTCGTCCCTCAAGGCTAGTACAGCATTGGAGGAGAAATCGTCCGGTTCCGACAAGCTTCTTGATGAGAAGCCTGCAGAGGTGTCTTCCCTCAAGGACTCGCTCAAGGCTACAACATTGGAGGAGAAATCGTCCGGCAACGGAGCCATTTCCTCTTCTTCCTCTGGGCAGCAGCCGGATCAGGACACGGTTATGGCCTCACCACCATCAGGGAACTGCCTTGCCTCACCTTCTGGGCCAGGCATTTGGCAACGAGAACGACGCGACTGGGGTTTCGGATATTACATCAGGCTTGATCATAAGGGATCTTTCCACACATATCCGAATGCAGGCGGGCCGTTTAAGAGCTTAGAGGAAGTCGATAAGGCTATGGATCGCTATTTTCATGAACATCGGGATCCAAATCTGTAAATCTCCTCAACTCAATTCTGGATGAATGTTCATCGCTCTTACCATAGTGCATATCTGCTATTGACTTGTTATGTCGAAATTAATAACAAATGACTTTTCAAGCTGGATTCCTCTGATAACCTGACAATTTGATTGTAGGAAACACAACTAGTATACAATGATGATTTGTAGTATATCCCTGTTTCGATGGCACCAAAAGTTAGTGGTATACCTTTGCAAATTTATTTGCGAGACAATTGTTTAAATGGTGTATGTATGTATGTATGTATAAATCATAGAAATAGCTGAAACTAATATAGTATCACACACCTCTATTTCTGTCAATTAATGGTGATTGCCAGAAAGTTCAGCTATGTTAGTTAACTATAGGCCAAACAGTTTGCAACCCTGAAATCAGAAAAGGCATAGCTTTTTCTCTAACAGTAACACTCCGAGAACTTATAGACATGTGAACAATCCTGGGTTTTTTTTTCAGGTCTTGTTCTTGTTGCTCACCAGTCTGCAACCTTCTGTCCAAACTAGTGCATCGTAGTCCTACTGATATATAACATTAACTTTTGTACAGTATAACTTACTATTGTCCACTTCTGAGAAACTACAAGCTACTAACCATATACAATGCTCCGATCTAAATTAGGCTAATGAATAAAGGTGGGGTTCCATCACGAGAGATTTCTATAGAAAAAGCTCGTTTTGGCCTGATGGCAGAAGGAAGAAGCGTTCAAGATCGTATATGATCCAGCAATTCCATAATCAAATGCGCCGATTACTTCAAGCCTTGGTGGAGAAGCATAATGAGGATCACAGCCTTTCGGGGGTTTGCTCTCTCTCCTTCTCTCTCTCTTTTTCTCTCATTGTTTTATCCATGCAATAGTTGTTGATCAGACCCATGCTTCTTACGATAGGATCTTGCATATGAACTCAAAGATGTTTTGCACGGCGCAACAATTTGTGAGGGGCGTACTACATTTTACTATCATCTCAATTTCACGGTGACTAAAGGAGCTGGTGATTCTAACTCTGGCATTGAAAACCTTTTCTTCGCGGAAGTCAAATGTGTGCTACAAGGAAAAGAAGAGGAATTCTCGGTCACCTGTTTCTGCCCGGTTGAATCTACCGATGATGGTACATTCTACCCTTTTCTCAGATTTTGAGTATTGTTGAAATGCATTTTGTGGTTGGCACCAACTTGAGATTATCTGTTACATATAGCCATAAATGTGTTTCTGACTACAGCACTTGATCTTTTGTTTCGTGAGTTGGTAGTTTGCCCCTTGCTTAGATCCGTGAGCTTTAGATTTGTGAACATTTTCAAACTGGTTCATGCATGGCCATTACTGATGTGTACAAAGAAAATCTTTTACTTTTAGTACTTAAAATAGTCAGCAATCATGATGTAATATTGGTGCCTGGTTGGTTACCTTGCAGTTAACTCTTTTCTTGTGTTTTTTGTTAATATAAAGGATACTGCTATGGTTGTACCATGGATAGGGATGTCAATATGAAGCACCCCATCAGTGCCAGTGCATACCTTGCCGGTCAGGTGAAGGTGGGTTCACACATTGGATACTACTCTTATGAAGGCTGGAGCAGCGACTCAGACGACGAAAATGTATGAACGATATGATGTTTAATTTTTTTGCTGAGCCTTGTACCATTCTAAGAAAGAAAAGGTAAGGTATATTTGGACGGTAATGCCATTTCTTTGGCACTGTGACGTCAATTAGTACAACTAACACAATACTGCTGGTTACTTGGTTGGTTGTAAATCGTTTCTCGTGTATTTATTTCTGTAGGACATTGCTGATAAAACGTGTTGAAGATGTTCATGCGGCCTCCGACTACGAGGGCTTTTGACGCCGACAACATGACTTTCGACGACGCCGGCGACTAAGAGGCAGAGGGGCAGGCAAGCCAACATGGAAGGGGGCAAGTGGCCGGGTCCAACAAGTTCAAGACCCAAGCAGGTTTGCTGGCTCTTTACTTCTGTTGGCTTAGTCGACGGGTTGACTATCTTGTAAGCTTGGTTGTAGTGAATGTTGCACCTGCTTACTGTAAATAAGTATACATTGTATGTTAAGCATGTTAAGTATGCAATACTTCTATACATGACTAAGGAATCATAGATTATTGTTGACTTTGCATACTTCTACATGACTAAAGAATTTTCCACTCCTAAGCGTGCTTAATCAATCATAGTGATGCCCCTGCATTTCTACCATGCGGTCGTCGAAGTAGGCGCATGTTGTGGCATTCACCAACGCTGGTCGGCACACCAGGTGAACGGGAGGCTCACAAGCGACGCAATGGAGGAACCTTTCACAGGCCCCATAGCGCGTCGGGCCTTCTCCGCAGCAGCGGCAGCATGCTTTGGACTCTCGGAGACTAAGAAAATGTCCACTGTCGGGCTCTCTGCCCTAGCATCTTATTCGCCTATACGTTCTAAGCAATTTTGTAGTGCCAATTATTAGGCTTATTTCGAAATCTTTATAATGCAAGCAATTATTAGGCTTATTTTGAATACAAGTTTCTTTTAACTATTCAAGTTGTCATCCCTGTAACTATTCAAGTTTGATTAATAAGGCCTGAGGGGTGGTTAAAAAAATCAATGGGCATTTTACAGGGATTTAGACGGGGGTCGGCTGGACCACCAATTGAAAGTCGGGGGATACCAATGCCGTCCTTCTAAACATTCAACCACAGGTTTCAAGTCATGGTGCTCACATTTTTCTGGATTTATTTTTGGATTTCCGGTGATGCGCCCTCAGTTGAAGAAGACGCTTCCGTCGACTACGAGGTGCTTATTGTGACTTCGTAAATCTTAAGATGATATGCCAACTCAGTCTCTTGGAGGTGCTCATAAGGATATGATGTGCATGTGTGCGGTCATAGGGTGAGTGTATGCGTGTATATACGAACGCTTACGTCTGTACTGTATTAAAAAAGTACGGCGCGAGGGGTGTTTAGTTAGGAGGAGTTAGTTATTTAGGTTAATAAAGATGATATGGCTTAGCCGTTCGTTTTTGGTGATAATACATGTCTCATTTATATCATAAAGATCATAACACAAGCCACGTGAAAAGACAACAGATCGCTAGACTTTGCACAAAGAAACGCCAACCAATAAAGAAATTACAATCAAGACCGAAGAATCCCCGATCTTGACACTAACGCCCGCCGCCTGCCTCTAATACCACCAAAGGAAAAACTGAAGGATCACCTCATCGCCCGAGCACGACTAAGACGTGTGGGAAACCATACCTGCAAGCCACCAATCACAAACCCAACACACGATCCGTCTTTCAGATGTCGTTCATGCAAACCACTGAAAACATAATGTTTGTTTCAGGCGTAGGGGCCCTATAAGAACTGGGACTCGAACCTAGGCCACTTAGGTGGTGGGTTGTATCTAACATTGGCAGAATAACCACTACGGTTGAGCTTCTTTGTTGTCTTGTTGAAGGAAATCTTTCTATTTGACCAGTCTTTAGTACTATATTTACATGTATTAATATTTATGATAAAAAAACAGCAGATGAACCGTAAACCAGCGGTCCGAGCGGTAAAAAACTGAGCCAACAGGCTCACCGGCTCGATTGCCGGTCCAGTTTTTTAAACGAGTCTAATGCAAGATCTGACGGCCGAAACGACTCAGGTCCAGTTTTTTAAACTGCGTTTAGACTCAGTTTTATTGTGCTAAATAAATGCTTAACACATGAGAACTCTGGTGCGTCGCACTTTCTATTCTCCCTGTCTATAAATAAATTCACAATATTTTTTAAATCCATGAAATATTTATCAATCTCATGATTTTTTAAATCTGTGGACTTTTAAAACTCTCAAACATTCATAAAATCTGTGAATTTTATATCAAATTTTTGAACATTTTTCAAATATGCAAACATTTTCTAAACACATGAACTTTTTTTAATTTGCAGAAGAAATTGAGTTAAACATTTTTAAACCCATAAACATTTTATGAAATCGTGATTGTTTCAAACCCATAAGAGAACAATGGGGTTCTTCTAAAAATGATAGTGTGAGAAATAAAAGATCGAGCGAGCGAGCGATGAACCAAAACACTTTGTGGTGCTTTTCCTAAAAAAACTCTTTGTGGTGCTCAATTTTTTTCACACCAACCAGTTTTGGTGCCTTTTTTTCTTGGAGAAGTGCCACGTTTATATTACTAACATCAGCAGATTACAACATACATGGCAAATCTCAGGAGAAATCCAAAGAGACTGCACACCAAGTGAAATTACAAGAAGCAAAGAAAATTTACAGAAAAAATCTTCCTGGCCCTTGCAACCACCAACCAAATGACCACAATTTTCAGCCACTGTCGTCGCCGAAGCGTCTGTCGGGTAGGAGAAGAAACAGTCTCCATCAAGCCAAGATCCAAGAGAAAGACATAGCAGCAAAACTGGCGTTGTGAGCCTCTGAACATGCGTTGCCACGAACGGCGCCACACTTGTCGTTGTGGGTTGTCGGCTGGAGCAAATCTCCACTCCACTTGGATCATGATTCTGAAGTCTTCATGCAGCAACGCCGCCGAGGGGCTCCAGAACCGGCAACCATCTTCCACATTTGAAGAAACTCTAAGTGCACCATACCTTGGACGAGACCGCCACCGCAACGCCGGCCACCTCCAACACCAGTTACTTTTGGCTTCGTGACAGCGCAGGAGGAACCGCTGACGTGACATGGACGAAGCCAAAGAAACAGGACCCTCAGCAAGACCTCCACCGCCGTCTTGAAGGCCTTGCCTGAAAACACATCCGCGACTCCTCGACGCCTTCGTAGAATGCCGTCAAGGCGGTGGTCCGGAAACTTTTATTCCTGGCGAAGACGTCGACATCGACAGAGCGACGTCGTGTGAACAAACTAAACCTAGACAAACACGAGCCAAGGAACCGGGGCTCCCCAACCCAGCTGCGAGCAGAGGGAAGAGGAGCCGGCGGCTGTGATTTGTGAATGCCACGTGTCATTCATCAGGGCGGGTCTCACCTGTTTTATATGAGATATGGTCTCATATAATTTTTTTCCGTCTTGTGTCTTGTGCCTTGTCCCCAATCGGAATCATCAAACCCTAACCGTCTTCCCCACCTCGAATTATGGCGGCCGCTGTGATGGCGCCCAAGGTTCTTCCTCGGGAGTGCCTCCCCCGGCGCAGCCCCACCGGCGGCTTTGAGCCGATCACAGTCTATGTACGTGTGGATGGGGACGGGAACTACCTCCTCAGGCATCCGTACCTGAAGGGTGGGCGGGCGTGCCGAGACCTCGAGGATCTTAAGGACGCAGTCCGTGCATTCTACACCGGCAAGTACATCTCCGCTCATCGCCGGAACAGGCGTCGGTCTCCGCCGCCGTCTTCAACGTGTGCATATCCACCGCCATCTCCCCCTCTCCCTCTCGCTTCGCCATCAATCTTCTATCCCAGTTTATTACATCACCGATCGATCTATGGAAATTTTGATTTCTTTTCCAGCGACGAAATATTCCAGTTCGAGTTCGTGGTGGACCGTGCCGAACCTGCAGATGTGTCTTCGTCCCTCAAGGAGTCGCTCAAGGCTACAACACTGGAGGAGAAATCATTTTCCTCTCTTATGGCCGCCTCACCATCATCAGGGGTCTCACCTCCTGGTCCTGGGTCACGCATTTGGCAACGAGAACGACATGGCTGGGGGTTCGGATATTACATCAGGCTTGATCTTGGGGGATCTTTCCACACGTATCCATATGCCGGTGGGCCGTTTCAGAGCTTAGAGGAAGTTGACAAGGCTATGGATAGCTACTTTCATCAACATCGAGATCCAAAACTGTAAATTTCCTCAACTCAATTCTAGCTAGATGACTATTCCTACGACTACTCCTGGTTTTGTGTGCATATCTGCTATTGATTATATATATCCAAACAGGGTTACTCTAATAAATTAACCACGTGCTTCTGTGCCCACGAAAGACGAGCACATGGATAGGGAAATTAATATCAAATGACTTTAAGCTAGATTCTACATAACCTGAAAAATTCGTTGTGCAAAACACTAGTCTACAATGATTTGTATACTCCTGTTTTTGTGCCACTGAAAGGTTATGGTATATCTTTGTAAATTTATTATTTGTGAGATAGTTGTTAAAATATATAGTGTATAAATCACAAAAATAGCTGAAACTAACAAAGTGCCACACACCCACCTCTGTTCCGTCAAAACAGTATGCAATCTGAAATCAAAGAAGCGATAGCTTTTTCTAAGAGTCGTGCTCTGAGAACTTGTAGGCATGTGAACAATCCTGTTTTGTTCTGTTCTTGTTCTTGGGTTGCCAGTGTGCAACCTTCTGTGCAAACTAGTGCATCGTAGTCCGGTATAACTTCTTATTGCCCACTTTTGAGAAAGTACAAGCTACTAACCATATACAATGCTCCGATCTAAATTAGGTTAATGAATCAAGGCGGGGTTCCTTCACTAGAGATTTCTATAGAAAAAGCTCTGTATTGGCCTGATGGCAGAAGAAAGAAGCGTTCGAGGTCGTATATGATCCAGCAAGTTCATAATCGAATGCGCCGATTACTTCAAGCTTTGGTGGACAAGCATAATGAGGATCATAGTCTTTTGGGGGTGCGCTCTCTCTCTCTCTCTCTCTCTCTCTCTCTCATTGTTTTATCCATGCATGCAATAGTACATATGACCCATGCTTTTTACAATAGGATCTTGCATATGAACTTAAAGATGTTGTGCACTGCAAAACAATTTTTGAGACGCGTACAAACTACTATCATCTCAATTTTACTATGACTAAAGAAGCTGGTGATTCTAACTGTGGCAACGAAAACCTTTTCTTTGCGGAAGTCAAATGTGTGCGACAAGGAAAAGAAGAGGAAATGTTGGTCAGTTGTTTCCGCGTGGTTGAATCTACCAATAATGGTACAATCTACCCTTTTCTTAGATTTTGAGTATGGTTGAAATGTATTTTGTGGGTGTGGCACCAACTTTAGCTTATCAAGATATAACCATAAATGTGTTTCTGGCTACAGTACTTTATCTTTAGTTTCCTGAGTTGTTAGTTTGCCCCTTGCTTAATTACATCCATGAGCTTTACATTTGTAAACATTTTCAAACTGGTTCATGCACGGCCATGGCTGTTGTGTACAAAGAAAATATTTTACCTTCAGTACTCAAAATAGTCAGCAATTATGATGTAATAATATTGTTGCCTGGTTGGTTACCTTGCAGTTAACTCTTTTCTTGTGTTTGTTAATAAAGGACACTGCTATGGTTGTACCAAGGATGGGGATGTCAATATGAAGCACCCCAACAGTGCGGGTGAATACCTTGCTGGTCACTTGAAGGTGGGTTCACCCTTTGGACATTGTTATGTAGGCTGGAGCAGCGACTCGGACGATGAAGATGTATGAACTATACGATGGTTATTTTTTTGGCCGAGCCTTTATCATTCTTGTTGCTTTGCTGTTAACTATACACGTGTTTCACCCTCTTTGGCAGATGGAAGCTAAGAAAGAAAAGATAAGATATAGTTTGACGGTAATGGCCTTTCTTTGGTTCTATGACGTTAGTTGTACCAACACAAATGCTACAATAGTAACTTGGTTGGTTGTAAATGGTTTCTTGTGCATTTATTTCATTAGGGCGTTGCTGATCCAAAGTGTATGAAGATGTTCACGCTGCCTCCGAGTGCTTTCGACGACGAAGATGACTAAAGAGAGCAGAGGGGCAAACAACCTTGGTTGTAGTGATGTTCCGCCTGCTAACTGTGAATAAACTGAGCTTTCAGGAGCATCAGGACTTAGGAAGTTAGGATCGATCGTAGATTTTACACTTTGTGCGTGCACGAATCAGGATGACATGTTTTATCTTTGACCTGTGACATCCTCCGCTTACACTTACACCAGTAAGTTAATCCTGTTTGATTAGCCCTGTTTCGGTCAATGCTGTTAACCTGAAAGTTAAGTTCGATTAACTGGTCGGTCAAAACAGTTTTTGTAATCTTCTTATAAGATGGAACGGTCTGTCTTCACAGTGATTGACCAAGAACTTATAGGCATGTGCAGTTTTGTTCTGTTTTTCTCGATTATGGTAGCATGCGCTGGTTTGCCATTTGGGTGTCATTCAGACTTTCATAGTGGAGCTACTGGGATTGAGACGATGTACGATACGACAGTTTATATTTCTTGTCGAGCGTCTTTTAACTTTTTTTGCTGCTTTGCGCTTGTCGATTAAATGTGTTAGATCCGCCCTCTCTTACAAGTGGAAGCTAATAAGAAGAAAGAGCACATGATTATGTTCGGTAATGGCATATCTTTGGCGTTACGATGCTATTTCTACTAATTAACACGATGCTAGTTACTACTTGATTGTTGGTTTGTTGTAGACCAGTGCACTGATTTTTTTAGGGCATTGTCTCTGGATGCATTTTTGCTGAGTTCTTTCATGCGTGAGAGTGTGGAGCGGGAGTGCTGGACTCAGGGCCTGTTTGGTTGGCTTCCTCGCTTAGTTGCGCCTCGCCTGGCACCTGCCTGAAAATTGCCTGGATCGTGTTTGGATCTTGTCCACAGAAAAGCAAGCGAGCCTGGCCTGGTGGCCGTGATGCCCTGATTAGCCTGGCCTGTGACCCAGGCATCAAGCTTAGCCTGGTCCAGGCGCTAGGAATCGCTCGCCTGGAGCGTCCTGGCTAGCTGCCTGGCAGCAAATCCTATTCTGACATGCTGCTTTTTTGTGGGCCCGTGTCTCAAATCATAGCGTTGCCACATTTAGTTTTATCCAGGCAAAGTCTACAACCAAACATCATATGCCTGGCCAGGCATGAAGCTTTAGATTTTCCAGGCAGTCTTCAGGCATCAGATTTTGCCAGGCATGAAAGCCAGGGTACGAACCAAACAGGCCCTAATCAATCCAAGAAGCTCTCGGAGGGGATCGTTACCCCCGCGTCGCCACGCCCAGGCGACTAGGGGGCGACCCGCAAACCCTAGCGCTGCGGTCATCTATCCAACCTCCTCTCGCGCCGCCGCTGGAGGACGCCGGCGGGCCGGGCTGACCGAGGCGGCGGGGCTCCTTGTTGGAGCGCCCGGTGCTCCTTGGGCGAGGATCTCGTGGCCTGCATCTCCCGCGACGTCCTGCGTACCTGCTGTTCCGTTGCACATCGGCACTCGTGGTCATCTTCCCGGCTTCGGCTAAGGTGTCCGACCCGCAGATCTGACGGGAGGTGGCCACATACGGTCCTCCCCATCGTTGATCTTGCTTGGGCATCCGGCGTTCTCGGAAAGGGGTTGGTGGCCAGGTAGGCTTGACCTTGGACTGGACCTTGTTTCAGCATGGTTTGGCATCTGCCGGCCTACCCATGGTTGCCCGCCTGCTGGTGCCGCCTTGAGGCGTGTGAGCAGGCATGTGAGCGGCTGCCTGGAGTAGTGGATGCGGATTATGGTGGCCATCAACAGATCTGAGGATTCCTTTCTTCAGATTCGGTGGTTGTTTTCAGTGGTAAGATGCAATCTACAAACGACAGCTTGACGCAGAGGATATGGTGGTGCAGGGCATAGTTTTCAATTTCAGTTTCAACAAAATTTCAGCACCAACGAAATTCAGTAAAATTCAGTTACTTCAGTTTGCATTTCAGCCAAAAGACCGCAATATTCATTTGAATTTAATTAAATATTTGAAATTTTCAAAAAGTATTTTGAAAAATATTTGATTTTCTGTGTACTATTGAATTGCTGAAATATTTTAACTGAAACGTAATATTTCAGTGTCTACTGAAATTAATGAAATTCAGTGAATTACAGTGAAATATCACTGAAAGTGAAAACCATGGTGCAGGGCTGGCAGCCAAAATGCATGTACCTTCTGAAATTGCGGAAAAGTGGCGGGGACAACACAACATTGACTTTGACGAGCACCGGGCTGAAAACCTAGGTCTGACCCGAGTTAGTTAACCTGGCAATGGCGATACTTTTGTGTCGTTGCCTTGCTGGAGGCATTGTTCGGATATGCTCAAACTAGTTCTTCAGGGTGAAAACTTAGAATCCGGCCTTTGGTGGTTGGATCCGGTGACGACGATGCTTGAGCGATGCTCCCTTCTTGAAGGCGTTGCTGTTGAAGAACATCATTGTCTATTGTCTTTGTGGTGACAAGAGATGGTTGGTGCGGATACGGTCATAGTTGTAGTTTGTCAACCGCGGATTTGTTCGTTTTGGGTTTTTTTTATTTCTTTTTTCTAGTTTAGGCATAGCTTTGGTCATATATGACTTTGCTATTTGCCGGCGTTTTGTTTGTGTGAGTGTGTGTTTATAGTGGTTGTGTGCATCCTAGCTGTGTAGAGGTCGGGTGTGTGCTCATTGTGTTTGTATCCACTTAATGCTTCATTTTGAGTCAATAAAATCCACCCTTTATCAGAAAAAAAGAAGTTCAAGACCCATGTAAAATTTCTTTGCCCTTTTCTGTTTGCGAAGACGCCACGAAAATGAAATGGACCTACCTGCAAGAAGCTACTGTTATCGTCTCTGAAGATGCTATAGTAGCCAAGTCACTTGGACACACCGAGAATTCAATTGTTGTTTTCAACATTTCTTACATAATAAGATTCTTCATAATGCAATAATCATGGTAGTGATGCACCCACAGACGCAATGTTTTTTTAAAACGAAGGCTCGCAAAAAGCCCGGTTTTAAATTAACAAAGCCATCAACCGGCCAGAAAATACAAACACACACAAACGGCATTGGCCAAACGATAAAGGGGACACTCTAGAAAGTTTACAACTCAACGAAGCGCACAAGCTCAAAAGACTACAGGAAAAAGCTCAGTGCTTGAACTAGTCGAAGACTGTAGCCAAACAGACAACTAGGAAAGGGACACGCAATCACGACGAGGATCTGCTTACAGCAGAGTGTAGAAGTGAGCCCAACCAACATCCAGGGGAAGGACTACACACATCCTCCGTCTCTCTCGCTGCAGAGGGACCCTTCCCTCTCGCCATGGCTAGCAAGGCGCCGTACCGCCGGACTTGAGAGATGCTCACCCTAGAGCCGGAGAAGTGCTAGCTCTGGGACCTGGAGAAACCACAACACACCTCCACTTGAACATTCGAGCACTCTGCGACTGCTGCACCGCCACATCCTAGACCACCTGAGGACTGCAGGAAAACCACCAGGTGCAGCTACTGAAGAAAGGCAGCAAGGTCATCAAGTAGAACCAAACAGGCCACCGAGGAGCATTCACTACAAAAGAAATACACTTCCGCGATGATACGTGTTTGTCACAGTAGGTCGCGTTTTCTGTCATACATGTACATCCATGACAAATTTATGACATAATCAAGATAGTCATACTTGTGATGTCGTAGAAGTGTTCCATGACATTACCAAAATCATCATCACGGAAGTGTCCACTTTCATGACGATAAATTGTGCGTCATAGAAGTGCTTTTGTCAAGGGTGACCGACACGTGGCATCCACCGTAACGGAATGCCGTTAAGCTATCGGGTCGGGTTTTGGATCCAATAACCCGTTAACAGCCCCGATCAATGGGGATTTTCCACGTGTAAAATCATCATTAGCTGGAGGAAACACGTGTGGGCTCATCGCTGGGACAGATGCCATCCACTCATTGGACAGAAGGCGCCTATGATATGTCGACACGTGGCATGGCCCAACAGAGGCCCATTCCTGTGAAAAGGACGGCCCGTTTGACTTGGTCAAAAGGTGGCGGGTCGGCCCATGGAAAGCCTGTTAACGGCTTGTTCGCATATAGCCCATTTACAACCCGCTAACCCAAGGCCCGTTACGCCCTATTAGAATTAGGCCCAATAGCATCATCTGGGCCATCCAATATGATTCCAGCCCATTTTCACTTCTGGCCCATGTATGGCCCATGACGTCTTTCGGCCCATATGAGGCCCTACGTAACTCTTGGCCTATTAACGGACCATGGTGAAACTGGCCCGTAATGAACAGTGTATCACTTTACACCTATTAACGGGCCCGTAACGAACAGTGTATCACTTTATACCCATTAACGGCCCGTTATTCCAGTGGGCCGTTTCCAGCCCATGTTATCTTTCAGCCTTCTCAAAGCCCATTTATTCTTGGGCTCATTTCCAGCATTCGTTTACTTACGACCCGTTATTGTCATTTTCTGCTTGTGGGCCAAATTCAGCCCGTGGTTACAGTTGGCCCGTTTGTGGTCCATTAATACGTTGGGCCGTTTTCATAGCGTCATCAAATACGGCCTATTAACGATGGCCCGTTATGGTCGGCCCATGAACGGACGATTCCAACTCTAGCCCATTTACGGCCTTAATGCGGTCTGTTTGGCCCATGTTTGGCCAATCGATCATATGGCCCGTATAAGGCCCATTGATGATACGCCCCATAGAAGGCGCATTGTTTCTACGGCCCATAGAAGGCCCACTGTTTCTACGGCCCGTAGAAGGCCCACTGCTTATACGGCCCGTAGAAGGCCCACTATTTCTACGGCCTGTAGGAGGCGCAGTGTCACTACAGTAAATATTACCCATGGTTATTATGGCCTAGTTTTAAAAAATAGGTTATTGCAGCCACTAGCAAACCGCAGAAAAAGAACTGCGCTGACTACAAGCAAACAAATAAACAAGACAACAAGGAAATAAATAAGCAAGCAACTTACACTAGGCTATCACGGCCATTACACATATTACATCCACTGGGCATCAAAGTTCGCCACCAG